TCCCAACTGCCAGCTCCCTGTCTGCATCTGCTGCTGCGGCATCTGCTGCCAGTGACTACCTTGGCCCAGCAACGAATGGGAAGACTTTTCTTTAGGAAAACTTACCTAAGAACGGCCTGGGAAACTCTCAGGCCTTGACTCCCCATACCTCAGGCCTTGTGCTTTCACATGCATCCTCCATCACCTCTGCAAAGCCCCATCCTTTTTTCCACTCTAGCAGAAGACAAAGGTCACAGGGTCCTTAGCACAAGCATCTGGCTCCTTCCCTGAGTGTCCTGTCCTACCCGGCAGTCTCACAGCACTGGTACCAGGCAGTCCCACAGATCACTGCCCTTTTCACACACAGTCCATCCAGGTCCTCTCTGCCCATGGGTTTTTATCTGAGGACAAGTCTAACTGCAGATCAAAATATCATGGGAGAAACACTGCACCTGTACTAAATCTACAAGTGTTTCTGATCGTTGTATCCCGAAGGACACAGTGTAACAGTCATTTACATAGACTCACATTGTCTTAGTCAGTCTAGGTGTCTAAGTAATGTGGTGGCTTAATGTTTACAGAGCTTCCTTGCACACACTACACCATCATAGGACTTGAGTTGTCTTTTGATGTCTGTGGGAACCAAAGCCTTGTAGACAATGAAAACCACCACTCAAGCAAGACTCTGAAATCCACACTTATGCTGGTCCCAGCCTTGGAGGTTTCTGTAGAACTGGAGAGTGTGTCAGAGGCCCGACCCCTTTCTTCTAGGGTCAGGCACTGTGAAGGCTGATGTTGTCCTCGCTGCTCCCACCCCACCTGCCCAGGCAGCTGAAGGAGCAAGTTTAAGTTTGCTAAGTCAGAATATTTCAGATACACATTGCCTGGGGGTTGCTTTTAGACAGGCCTTTTGATTTACAACCCAGGGGATGAATCTTTGGAGGATTTTGGAGAACGATCAATTCTGTCTGCTTAAAACTCTTGCCATTTCTAAGGTTCCTGGCGAATATTTGCTTTTAATAGCCATTTGAGTCAACCACTGCATGAATGAATTTGGGTGTACATCCCAACTACACAGCTCTGATGAATCAAGGCACACGATGGTGCTGTGCTGGGGTTAAACTCCCACTCGGAGCATCTTCTTAAGGGTTATTTTAGGCCACCTTGATTTTTCTAAATGACGAGTAGCCAATTTCCTCTTGAAAGAAATCCCCACACACCTGAGTCTGCAAACAGCATATATCTGCCAAAGAACTCAGAGCCTTAGAGCAAAGCTGTATAAAGCCTAGAAAAACAAGTTGACTTGAAGTTTCTATTTTTACATGGTATCCTGTTTCCACAGGGGCTAAGACTAGTGGTTTCAAACTCAATTTAGCATTAAACTAATTTTCAGCCAGGTCTCCATGGACCAGTAATTAGGGGGAGGCAAAGAGTTCAAAGCCAGAGATTCCAGGACCCCTGCATAGGCGTGTGTACTCTTGGAAGAAACTCTCTCCCAGTTGCTTCCTGTCCCGGGCCAGACAGCCACAACCAGCCTAGACAACCTGTTACTGGAATGTCCCATGGCACAAGCAACTGGGCTTCACCATGTCCACTGTCTAGAAAGATACTGGCCAAGTCCACTCGCTTTCTCCTAGCTGTCTTAGGGACAGAGCTAACAACTTCCTGAGGGGCATCACTATGCACCAAAGCCAAGAGACACAGGCAAGGGACAACAAGAGAAGAATGGGCCCTTTCAGCTGCTGAATCCAGTGGCCTTTCACAGCCTTGCAACCCCACTGGCTGGGTAGCCACTGGTTCCACAGCCAGTGATCTTGCTGAGCCCAGGGAAGCCTACCTAAGCCTTCCTCCCAGTGGGATACCAGCTTTATCCCTGGCTTCGAACTCCTCAGACTCCTAGCAGGGCTTTTCATCTTCTTGAATTTTAGTTTTGCTTGGCAATGGTGTTTAGGTTCTGCAAGAGCATGGTCCAAATTACAGAAAGCACCTAAAAACCTCAGTCTTAACCACCCCCGCCCTTCCTCGGAATTCATTGCTAGGGTCCTTTCCTCATACTCTACTTTCCTCCCTTTCTGCAAGTATTGGTCTCATACAAATGAGATCACCTTAAGCGTGCTAGTTATCCCCTTCCTTATCCCTTTTATGAAGTATGTTCTAGATAAACCTCACTTCCTCGAGTTCTTTCCACCATTCATGCTTTTGGAATCTTGGACTCGAACCTGGAGTTTAAAAGCATCTGATTCTTGAGAATCTGGATAAATGCTCCCACAGCCGCCTCATCAGAGAGGGGAGGAGAAGACAGGAGGATGTGTTTCATGGCCAGGCATCAGACAGCACTCAGCCAGCAATCTTCATTTCTCCAGGAACTGTCAGCCAGAAGGGCTCCTCTCTCCAGCCCTGGAGACAGGATGGATGGCCTCCACAGTATAGGAAAGAAGCATGGGGGCTCTCCAAGGGTGAGGCAAGGAACATTTGACCCCAGCTGGTGCCAGCGGGACAGCTGTGAACCAGGACCAGCTCCCACTTCCAAACTCTACATTTGCCAATTTAGCCAGAGTTCAAGAAAATCTTTTAACTGTTTAGAAATTAAAAAAAATAAAATAAAAAACCTCCCCTAGAAAAGGTCAGCATCATGCCTGTCACCCTGAAATCCCATGCTAGGACTAGATGATTGGCTCTGAAGACATTCCTCCCTACCCCCCAGGAACCACAAGCCAGATAGGCTCTGACCAGGGAGGAGCACTACCCTCAGGAAAGAGCCTCCTCCCAACCTGGATTGGAGACAGTAGGGAAGGGTCTCACCCAGGGGGTCCACACCCTGACAGTACAACAAAGAGGGTGTGGGGAAGAGATTCAGGTAAGAAGGGAGGAAGCAGGGAAACAAACAAAAATCTCCTTCTGGCACTTAAAAGGCGCTTGAGACATCAAAGAGCCTAAGTAGGCACATGTTGGCAAAGAAACAGAACCTGGCCCTGGGCATGCAAACAGTGGCACAAGGTTAGGTAAGGGGCAGACAGCCTGACCTGACTACCCATGACTACTGATGGGTAGATTTGGGGGGATGGGGGGTAGGGGGCATCTGTTTTCAAGGCAATGTCTTATACTGTAGCTTAGGCTGGCCCTGGTACTCACTATCTCACTATGTAGCCCAGGCATGCCTCTTGGCAATTCTGCCTTGGCCTCTCGAGTGCTAGGATTAGTCATGAGCCTATACACTAAGCTTACAGCTGTTCTTCTGCTCATTGGTAAGTCCATGGAAGGGACGCAGGGGATGACGGGGATGACAATGGCTTTGCCAGCCTGGCAGATTGCCATGGTGGTTTGGAGTAAGAGAACAGGGGCATGTTCCTGGTTAAGGTAGAGTTCGTGGACAACCCAGACCACCTGAGGTCAGGATAACCGGAGAGTCGGTTAGTCCAAGGATATCTCACATATAGGTGTGAAGTCCCCTTCCCTGCCTCCATTTCTAATCTGACTCTAAGCAAGATGGGGAGCATCTGGGAAGTTCACTGCAGAGTGTAGATGATACTCCCAGCCAGCCAGGACTCAGAACAGAACTGGAAGGCAGCAGTTCTTATTCACTAAAAGATCTGCTGACGCCTGACCTAGACCCACACCTCCAGCAGCAGGTAGCACCCTGTCAAGCAGCTCCTCCTGCGTCGCCACATTGCAGAGCTTCAGGCCCCTCGCCCATCACCGTAAGAGGACAACAGGCCTTCCTTGGCTGCAACAGCTCCCCCTGCCTCTTGGGTGCCTCTGAACACTAAGGGTAGATAGAGCAGGGTGGGCTTGCCTCCTCCTCTTCTATATGATAAGAAAGCTGCAGAAACCCTGCTGGGCTGTCCACAGCAGTGCAGCACAGCCTCAGAGAATCATGGGCTTGAGAGCCCTGCACCTCTGTAGGCCACTATCTTACTACACACAGGACTGAATTTTGATAGTTTTAATAAAGACGATTTAATGACGCTCCATTACATGAGCTTGCAGTGACAGATGGAAGAAAGGTGCGGTTTCCAGCAGAGAAGAAAGAGTATCGGAGATGACCTGATTAGCGATGACTAAACACAGAGGAATACTATAAAGAAGCCCTTAAAAATGAATATTTTTCATTATCTAAATGAAACCAGAGCTCTGTATTTAGACCCACCAGTCTTAAGCTATGTTCCACCAAGGCCGAGCAGCATGGCTAATGCACTCTATAAGGAAGATCCCCTGATCCTCCAGGCCTGAATCTGTCTGCCCCTCTCTCCAAGCCCTCCCCACCCCCAGCCCAGAACCACAAAACATTGTCTGACGTGATTCGGAGCTGGGGGGAGGAAATGTCTTGTGAATTCCAAATATGACTAGAACATAACTCAAATAATGAGCATTGCAAGGGTAAATTGCCCTCCTCAGGCTCCCTTCTAATCGCAGTGGCTTTCCAATTCATTTAATAAAATGGGAAGATTTTGGGACTGGAAGAAAGAGATTTGGTTCAAGCATTGGCACTGAAATTCACCGAGTATATGACAAAGGTACCTGACCCAAGAACCTAAGAGGGTTACGACAGTACATCTTGGGAGGCCACTGGCAAGCTGGAAGCAGGCACAGGGAAGTGACCACCGGGAAGCCTAAGGGCCTATGGGACAGCGTGGCACTGTAACCTTCCCACTGCTCCTTCCACCTTCTCCGGTGTTGGGTGTGTCTGATGGGAGTCTTTGCCAGCATAGTGGTCATGGTACCCCTGTGTTCCTCATGCTGTCCTCTGGGCTGTAAGGAGTGTCTGAGATATCGGAGTTATTTTTGAAGAGCATCACAACTACTCCCCAGAACACAAAACAAGTGGGTGGCAGCCCTGAAACCCCCAGCTACAATGTCTCCTCCCAACCTTCTACACTTCTCCTTTTACTTCCCAGAAACACCTCTTCCATGAGGTAGATCCCTCGGGTAGATCCTCAGGTTCCCCAAGATCTCTCAGGGCCCACTTATTTGACTTAGCCGAGGGCGGGCAGACTCTGAAGGGCTCTGCGGCTGGGGGGTACCTTGGCATTCTGCAGGGGAGGCTGGTAACTAGATGGCCGGTAGAACACCCTCTGGCTAGCGTCAGTGTGGATATCACCAAGGAAGAGCTCCTCCACCAGGTGGTCCAGGCTGTGGTGGGGATATTGCTTCTCCACACGGATGAGCTGCAGCTCGTGCATGGCAAAGTTCACAGCCTTGGTGCACTCGTGGCTATTCTCCTCCTGCCACAGGTCATAGGCCACGTCCTGCACCCAGGGACCACCGGGAGCCAGGAAGCCTGGGCAAGTTCGGTTGACCAGTCGGCTGAGCTGTTCAGCAACTGCCTCTGTGTGGCAGATGACTTGGACGCCGTGAAGCTGGTAGTCGGCCTCGGTGCCCCCACGAATGATCCAGGACGCCTGGCGCAGGCGGATCTTGCCTCGGATGATGAGAGTATAGGTGGGGTTTGTACAGCGGTTGCTGCCATAGTAAAACTGGTAGGCCTTGAAGGTATTATTGTTGTAGAATCTGTAAGACCTTGTGATGAACTCTGGCCCCGACCTTACTTCACAGCTGTTGAATACAAGAGCGGGGAAAGAGCTGGGTAAATCCAGTGTCATGTGGAAGAGAGGGAGGACATGGCAAGTCGCTGCAGCAAGAACCATGCTTTCCATCTCCGTTACAAGTGTCAATGAATTGAGTCTTCACAATAGCCTAGGTACTGTGTATGATTACCATTCACATCGGAGGAACTGAGGCAACAGAAGAAGAGGCAGGTACCAGAGCATATAATATGCAAATGCCAGAGCCTGGCCATGAATCTAGGCAATGCTGCTTTAGCAACTGACCCTAAATAGTCTCTTCTAACTGTTTTTCACTCACTGTGTGTGAGGAGAAACAGGGCCCTTTCAGGGAAGTTTCCTCTCTCTGGATAAGAGGGAACAGTGTGCTGCTGGCCTATATAAGGAACCCATGTCTGATAGATAAAAAACAAGTAGACTCATGAACACTTCAAATTAGAGACCTTGTCTAGGGTGGTACGAGATGTCCTTTGTTCTGAAATAGAATCTTGGCAGAAATGGAAGTCTGCCCTTCTATCCACTCAAAAGTATTATCCTCATGGTGGGGAAAAATAAGAGGCAGTTAAGTGGAAACAAAGCTAACATGGTAAGAGAGACCAGGGTTCCTTTGGTTTGTGCTGACTGACAAAGGGGAAATGTCCTTAGATAAATCTAGGCTCCCAAGCCAGAAATCCTGTGACTGGGTCCTACAGAGTGAAATAGCCGGATGGGCTCAGAGCCATTCTCACGTGATTTGTCACCAATCCATGTGGACCCAGCAGAGCCTGTGCTAGCGGAGGTCAGGGGTTCCCTGAATCACAGCCCAAAGTTTGTTAGACCCCGGTCTTTTCAGTTACAACCCTTAGCTCATCAGAATTATACCTCTGCACATAAACAGTTCTGAGCTGAGCTGACAGCAGGGCTAAATCAAGTGATGAGGATGCCATCCCAAACGCAGGTGCTTCTCAAAACTGTCAGCAATTTAGACTTTTAGTTGGCAGACTGATGGAGGATAACTACACTTAACATGGGTGCTATTGTTATGTAAATATATTCACTAATGTTAAATAATGTCTTGTGGCTGCAAAATGTACCATCCTTTGAGCACTAGTCCCTGGAGGCAGAAGAAAGAGGCAAAGGCCACCCTAGGCTTTTGACCCAAAGGAACTGGAGTTTAGTGTGATCAGTGGTGGTCAGTGGAGGTGGAGGTAGGAATTGGTTTCCTTTTTCATTTATTCTTTTGATCTTATTATTTTAACTCAACCTCAACAGCCTGTGGATTCTGCCTCCCAAACTCAATGTAACTCAGACATAGCCATTTCTCCACTGCTTTCCCATCCTTTTCACTCAAGCCACTGTCAGCTCTAGGCAGGAGTGTACAAGTCTCTCTAGGGTGACTCCCAGCATGTTTGCTCCTGTATATTTGCCACGGAACAGCTGGAGTGCCCTTTAATAAAGATCTTATTTTAAGCATGGTCCAGGCAGCACCTTTCAATCACTTCCCAGTTTTCTTAGCATAGAATACCTGTCAGATACACACAGGGGCACACACCTGTAGTGCCAGCTAGCTCAGAAGGATCCCTTGAGCTCAGGAGTTCAAAGTTAGCCTGGGCAACACAATGAAATGCTGTCTCAAAACAAAGCAAAACAACCAAGCCAAACCACCACTACCAAAAAGTCTACCCTAAATCAATAACAACAAAAAGACCTATTCTGCAAGGTAGCTCAGAGCCACCCCCAACACTCAGGGAGCTAGGTTTCAGGACTGGGGTCAGTGGGGTCCCCTGGCAGGGCAAGCCATGTCCATTCTATATCTAGCCATGACTTTGCCAGTTTCTCTACACAGATAACTCGTCCTACAGGAAGAAACTAGATTTCAGGTTCCATCCTGATCCTAAAATAAGGCTGTCTCACATCTCCTTCTGCACCCCTGCTTTTCTGCATCCATCTGTAATATCTCAAGACCACAGGGACCAAACCTGTTTGAGCTATATACACAAAACATAACTACTGCTTGGCAGCAGCAGTCAACTAATAAGTGAACATTTTCGAGTTATAATTTCACATTTAAAGTTGCTCTGCAAAGAATTTATCAGTCATTTTAAGAGGCCCAGTTTTAGAAAAAGAATTCAATGTAATCATTTTATAGGATTTAATCATTTTATAGGATTTCTTTTGTCTTGTGACCATATATGTTCAGTTATTTCCCTAAGGTCTTTGGAGGCTGCTATCCATATCCCAGGAACTGTGCATAGGAAGATGTCATCAGATCCTACTTAGTCTTGTTAATGCTCAACAATTTAATGGGTAGATAGAAAATCACTTATCTGCCTCTAGGCTATTTTTGAAAGCTCTAAAGGAAGATAAGCCAGAGCTCAAACTAGGATAAATCTCAGCTTCACAACACAGAAAAGAATCTAAGAACTGGCTGGTAAAGGCAGCTCTTAACTTACTCTCAGAGTCTTGAAACCATAGATTAAGTTACCAGAATATGGAGAGAATATTTAGACCATAAGAAGCTTTGCAGTCATGTTTCAGGGTTAGTTGAAACACAGACGCTTAATTTCACTTGCTAATGGTTTCTCTTTATACACAAGTGGTCCCACAGAGTTCAGTAAACAAGGATCTATTCACTCATACTGTGTAGTTAGCAGGGCTATGATACCATTGCTGCTTCGGGCGTGAGATTTCTCCAGCTCCTAGCTCTGTTTGCTTAACCAACCATAATTTCCAAGAGCTGTCTGGCTCTCTGTTGCTGTACACTATAGAAAGCTAGCATCCTTAGAGCCTGCTCCGTTGCTCTCTGCACTTCTGTCTCAAGTCCAGCTCTTACCCTGTGGACACCCAGTGGCCCTCGATGGTTGGGGGCATCTGCACAGTGATGCGGGCACCATTGTGGAGATGCTTGAGCATATGATGGCACTGTGACTCCTTGAAAGCCCTCCAGGCACTTTTCTCTAAGGACCGAGGATGTGATCTGCTGTCTGGATGAAGGAGGGCAGAACCCTCTCCCAGCCCTGAAAAACAAGAGCAGAAAGTGAGCAAAAGCGGCAGCAGTAAGTTCGAGTCAGGTAGATGGTGATCGGAGGTGACAGCTGTGGAAAAAGCCCGCTGACATGCTGCTCTCAGGCTGCATGCTGTGCTTGCTCTTTCAGAATTCCCATGCCAACGTGGGGAACACTCTTGGAGATCGTTTTCCAGGTGGAAAATGGAGGCCTGTGAGAATGAGAGCCTAGCTTGCTTGGGGCCACCCAGCCAGTTCTTTGCAAAGCCAGGGTTCAGGTGCATTCACTTGGGTTTCTTACATACTCACGAACACCTGTGTGGTAGAGCCTGGCTGAACCCCACAAGGTCAATTCAGGAGTGCTGAAAAAGGTGATGTGGAATTGAAGGGAGAGGGAGAACCGGGATATCAACTTCACACACTGACACACTTAGATGAGGAAGAGAAAGAGTAAAGAGATCAATGTTGAAAACGCAGCTTGGCAGATGTGGAAAGAGAAGGGGCCAGGGGACAGTTCTGAAACTCCTGGCTGGGACCTGCTCCTTGACTAACCCCCCATATGCTTTTACTGAGTCACATGTTCTCTGGCTATCACAGACTGCAAACTAGGATGCCCTAGTTACGGTTTGTCTAAGGGCTTTTGAACTAGAATCTTGGTTTCGAAATTCGATGTTAAGAGGTGAAGTCCAATACGTGGTGTCAAGGGCATTGTAGGTGCCGCCCTTAGAACTGCAGGCTGCTTATACTCAGATGTCTTTTATCAGTGGCTCAAAGACTGAGAGGATGAGAGGAGTTCTCAGGGTACAGCCCCAGAAGTTAAAAGATATATATCTCTGTATATGAAGTTCTCAGGGTTCCCTTTTTAAATGCTGCCCTACTGACAGAACGACCTTTCTTCTTCTTAGTGATATTCAAACACAGGTGGGAGCCAGGAGGCGAAGGCACCTATGGGCATGATTCAACTAACGAAAATCTAACTAAGACATTCTTGACCTAAGTTGATGGTGATATGCGTTGGTTTGAATGTGGAATGTCCCCGGACAGGCTTATGGTTTGGAATGTTTGTTACCCAGCTGGTGGTATTATTTTGGGAAGCTGTGGAACCCTTAGGAGGTAGAGCCTTGCAGGGAGAAGTAGGTCACTGGGAACAGGCATTGGAAGGGTACAGCCCTGGTCCTGGTTCCACTGCCCTCTCTGATTTCTGGTCCAACTTAAAGCATAAAGTCTCTGTCACATGACTGTGAAATGGGCGGCTCTACCCTGCCTTCCCTGCCATGGTGCACTGAAACTCTTTGAAAGAAAAGGCCAGAAGAAAAGTATTCTACTTTGTTGTCAGATATTGTGATCACGGCAATACAAAAGTGGCTAACGCATGTGGAGTTCAAGTTAAGGCTAAAACCACTGCTTTTGACCTGAACTGCTTCCGGGCAAATTATAAAAATGGGCAATTGCTGCCTGGTGACATCATAATTCACAGTCATAGCTATGAAGCAGGGCCCTCCATTTCCAGGTTTTTATAGAGGGGAGGGGAGAGGAAAGGAGGGAAGAAGAGGGGAGGAAAGAAAAGGGGAGGAAGGGGAGGGGAGAGGAGGTGCTTCCTCCAGTGATCCTCCTAGCTTCACTTTCCATCTCACTGTAACTCTTCCAGATGGGTGACCTGAGCAATGGAGGAAGAAGCGAGCTTGCTGAACTCAGATCTTTCTTTCCCAAACACCAGCTTGTTAACAAAACCTGCATACCCAACACACACACACACACACACACACACACACACACACACACACACACACACAC